AAGTTCCAATGTACCTAATCAGTGAAATTATATCACAATGTAAATGAGCTGAAACTAAGTTTATGCACAGAAAGTAATTAAAACTTAAAAAATATATATTTATGTTCTGCAGTGCATATTTTCCCCTTCACTTGATTCAGTTTAATAGTTATTTCTTTTTTTCCCCCTCAAGGCAGAGATTTTTATTATTTAACATATTTTATTGCATTTTAGGTGAAAGTTTAGACAACAAATTAGGCTCTCCTATAATAATTTTTATGCATATTAATCCATGACATTGGTTATAATTTTCACAACATTTCAGCTCTTTTATTATGTCCATTCTGTTTCTGTTTCCATTGATCTAGCTTCCCTTTCCCTCTTTGCCTTCTCACCTTTGTTTTTGGGTAAATACTGACCTCTGGGTCTCATATAGTTCATTGTTTGAGGGCACACACTATTTACAGGTGATACTGTTTGTTTTGTAAGCCAATGTATTATTTGACTGAAGGGTGACCGTGGAAAGAACTTCAATCTCATGTTCAAAGGTTATCTTAGGGAGATAGTCTTGGGGATCCTCTACCGTCTTTCAGTCCAGTATGTCTGGCCTTTTAAAGAAATTTGGGTTTTGTTCTATATTTTTCTTCCATTCTATCCAGGACCTTCTATCGTGTCCCTGGTCAGAAAGGCTGGTATTGGTAGCCAGTGAAATGCATATTTTAAATCACTAATCTTTTGTTTAGTTATATTTTTTCATTTGAGAGTGGCAAATAATCATCAAGTATGTAGATACCTTCCAACAGAAGTTTAAGTAATTCTAAATCGTAAGGGACTTCTTAGGGGGTAAAAAACTCTATCACTCACAAATTATCCTGCTTTTTCAATTCCATATTAAAAGGCACCAGAACGCTAAAATTTTAGTTCAAAGATCACTGAGGTAATAGCTCTAATATATTTGTTTTGCTACTTAACTGGTACATCTGAGCTACATAATTCTTTAAATTTTTAAACATTAGCATTCAAACTAGTTTCAAATTTGTGCTATTTCTTCTTCAACACTCTGTAGGTTTGTGCACGCTTACATTATTTGCTTCTATTTACTTGAAACTTTATGATCATTAACAAAAAACCAAAACTAAACAAAAAACCCCAGAGACACAGCATTTGGCAGAAGAAAAGCATCTGACACAGCCAGGTTGCAAGTCTCCAGTCTCATCACAGACCGATTTGGATCCAAGTTATTACTGAAAATACTTGGCTCTGAGTGTTAAGATAAGAATATAACACATCTACTCAGGAACTAGGTAAAGAGGTAATAACAGGGCCTTTAAAAAAGAAAGAAAGAAAGAAAAAAAAGGTAGTGTATGTTTGTTAGATGAATGTTTGGTCAGAAGAAAAAAAGAATTGGAAATTTCTGTGCCGTGAAAATGTGAAAAGAAGACAAAATTAATGAATTTTTATTGACTAATATGATCTGAGAAGAACAACATCCTGAAGACTCCCATCTTTCTGCAAGCTTCCTAGTACAGCATAGAAAGCATAATTATAGAAAGGGTATTTATTTTAATAATCAGAAAATTGACCTTATTTATCAATAATTCAATCTCATTTAAAAAAAAAAAAGAAGAAGAAGATATCTGCCATACAAAATTATATATAACATTTACTCCAACTTTCCTGGATAAGGTTTGTCTGTTCTCTATATGAAAACTTTTAAATAACTTCTTGAACAAAAAGTCTAGAAATAGTCAATTTTCTCTTAAAGTTCAAAGTTTAAGTATGTCCAGAAAAGCAATCATCAAATATATATAATATCTTTTTAGTCAAAAAGGCCATAGAGAACTGAGAACCTTTAGAGATATACAAAAGGATTTTATCAACTTTAAAATATTAAGATATGGTTATGATGATGACTATGAGATTCAATCTGGCCACATCCTGAGAAGGACCCACAATGCTTTCTGTCTTTTTTGAGTGACTGCTCTGTGTTAGACACTGTTCCGGGCATAAGTTAACTGTTTTAATGGCAATTTGATTCCTCTTTCTGGTGAAAATAAAAACTCAATAGAATTTTACTATATGAATGGTCCTACACCTCAAATAATTGTGCTTATAGTTTGGAATCTTCTTGGCTTAACAAAATAAAACAAAAAATCTACTCAACTAAAATATTACTTTTAAAATTGAACAGTTAATTGTGGTTATCTCTGGGATTGCATGAGATTTTATTTTATTTATGCATTTTTTTGTTACTCATTTGGGTTTTATGCAATGAATACATATTCCTATATAGGAAAAGGAGCTCTGGTAGTGCAATGCCTAAGGCACTTGACTGCTAACCAGAAGGGTTCAAACCCACCAACCACTCCTTGGAAGGAAGGTTGGGCAATCTACTTCCGTAGTGATACTGCCTCAGAAACCCAAGGAGGGGTTGCTGTGAGTCAGGTCTGACTCCGTGGCACACAACAACAACAATATAGTAAAGGTAAATTTTTAAAACTAGACAGTTAAAAGGATTAACTCCTTGTTAAACAATTAAGTATCATTTCTCTTCTGGACAAACTTAAACCACCCCTAGTTTTTCTTTATTTAGAGAGTGAACATTTAGGAATACTCTGAATTTAAAGACTTTGTAAAGAATAATTCTGCACTCACCTTTTAATAGTAAGTTATGAGATTTTAATAAACAGTACCTTTAGCAATTAATTGATACATTTTTACCAAAGATTTTGTATAGACAGTTTTCTTGTACTATTGAAAGAAACCTAAACCCACTGCCATGGAGTGGATTCTGGCTCACAGCAAACTTAAAGGACAGTGTAGAACAGTCCCATATAGTTTCCAGGGCTGTTACAGAAGCAGACTGCCTCATCTTTCTCCTGCAGAGTGGCTGGGGGTCTGAATGCAGATCTTCTGGTTGGCAGCTGAGTGGTTTGACCATTGCACCACCAGAGCTCCTTTAAGAAACCTAATGTCCAATAAAAATCTGATTTAACTTGTTTTTCTTCTAGAAGTTTCAATGTAATTTGTTCAATAATTCATGCCTTCCTATTCTTTTTGTGATGTTTTATTTGTTACATATTATTATATGTATATAGGGTTTATTTCAGGTCTATCTAGTCTGTTCACTGATTGTTGTCTTAGTCATTGATATAATAATGTTGCAAAATAATCTTTCATGAGTAACAGAGCAAGTCACTGCAATACTCTTACTTTTTTAACACTTTTAGCTAAACTCATCTTTTTATTATTCTTTTAGATAAACTTGGAAATACAAATTCAATCTTTTGTTTAATGAAATGATTCTATTTTGAACTAGTAATCAAAAAAATAAAATATGTGAGGCTGTGTATAGCACGATTAATATATTCAGGTGGACAAGGCAAGTCTATAAATTATACTTTCATGTACCATAATACGGGAGGCTCTACTGACATAGTGCCTAAGGCATCTGACTGCTAACCAGAAGGCTGGTGGTTCAAACCCACCAGTCACTCCTCGGAAGGAAGGTTGAGCAATCTACTTCTGTAGTGATACTGCCTCAGAAACCCAAGGAGGGGTTGCTATGAGTTGGATCTGACTCGAGGGCAGTGAGTTAGAGTGAGTACCATAATACGTTGAATACAAATCCCCTTAATCTGAGACACAGATAATAGGAAGTGTTTCACTCATTTAAAGATTTAAATGACTAATATCTAATATCTGACACAGAATATATGTGCATATATGTATGTATACGTATGTGTATAAAGCTTTTTTTTTTTGTTTTTTGTTTTTTAGTTCTCTGTACACTACAATCTTGTCATTTTTTTTTTTTTTTTTTCCTTTATCTTCTATAACAGATTCAGGCTTTTGCTCCAAAATAAAATCCACCTGTCTCTGATTGAATGCTTCCTTCATTTGATTTCTCTTATATTGAGGAATTACAGATAGGAGATTATACAGAATGCACTGAGAAGCAGAAAAGTTTTGCTTACTAAGCAAATTGAAAAAAAGCAGTTATTAGCAGCCAATCTTGTGGCAGCCCACCATACCAGCAAACCCAAAGCAACAAGTATTTAATGTTGTTTGGAGCAAGGGCATGCATAAGCAAAGCTAAAAGCATTTGCAACAAAGAAGGAAAAAGGTCACATATTGGAGAGAAGGAAGGTTGTGAAGTAGGCTTTTACAATCTATGGAACATTCTTTAAACCTATCTAAAATATGAATTAACACTATAATTTGACCGTTTAAGAATGCTGAATGATTTCCTTTTATTAAATGCCTCTATTGTAGTATATTGCATGTGCCTGGAATGTATGTTCTATGGATGACAGGTAAAGTAAACATCATTTATCCTGGAAAAGGCCTCTCCATTTCAAGTATGCTGGAGTTTGTGCAAAAAGCCGTAGAAACGGGGTTTGTTAAGTTAGAGGAACAAAGAGAAGAAAAACTGGGGCTAAATGTACTTGGGAAGCAGGAGTCATGATAATAATGAAAATGTCATATTCCTCAACCCCACCCCCCAAATCTAAAACCTCATCAGCTATTAACACAGATACTTCTATCTTCTATTTCTTCCTGGAAAGGTGTTTCTCTTATGGGAGATTTAAAATCAGTAGTTTATAATCCAGTTATCACAGTTAAGTTAAGATACCAACTGGTACAGTTTTATCCTTTAGAATATTATTCTTCTATCAGGTTTCATACCATTTGTTCAGTGTGGTTCCAAATCAAAAGTAAGTACTTTTTGGATAATGTTTGACCTAAATTGAAGGGGTTGTTTTTTTGTTATTTATGCCTTTGGATGGACCGTATAACATGTTCTTTATTGGTGAGCCCACACTTTTGGCTTAGGAAAAATATTGTTCTTACCAGATACTGGGTCACACAAAGAAATTATTTTTAAGTAATGTTTTATAGTGTTTTGGGTGAAAGTTTACAAAGCAAATTAGATAGATCACTAAAATTTACTGAGCAAAATCTTTTAAGGAAATACTGACAGCATATATATCAACACTGGAAAACCATCAAATACATACAGCTTTCAATCTTTTTACGGCATCTTCACAGATGTGCATTCCTCTTGATTCATCAACTTCTACATGGCCAAGGTACTGTGGAAAGAAGAAAGAAGTCAGGGCTATTTCTATGTTTACTGAGTAGCTACTATAGGGTAAGAAACCAAACCAAATCCATTGCTGTTAATTAGATTCTAACTCATAGTAACACTCTAGGACAGAGCAGAAATGCCCCATAAGGTTTCCAAGGCTGTCATCTTTACAGAAGGAGCTCTAATGGCTCTTTCCGAGGTGGCATCACTATGGAAGTAGATTGCCCAATCTTCCTTCCAAGGAGTGGCTGATGGGTTTGGATTGCCAGCCTTCTGGTTGACAGTCAAATGCCTTAGGCACTATGCCACCAGAGCTCCTTTGGCTCTGGTAGTATAATCAAAAACCCAAACCAAACTCATTGCCAATGAGTTGATTCTGACTCAAAGAGACCCTCTTTTGGGTTTTTGAGGCAGTAAATCTTTATGGAATTAGATTGCCCAGTCTTCCTTCCATGACAGTATAATAGCCTACGCTAAGTAACTACAGTTACTATATTTCTAAGCCTAATTTTAAGACAAAGCAGAATAAATATATCATTAAAAAAGGCACAAACAAAAATGACACAGTTGTTCAAAAGGTGAAGGGATCATAAACTCTTTTAACGGGGACAACGAAAGAACAGGGCAGAGAATTAGAAAAAAAAAAATAAGGAGATAGTGCATCTGAGCTTTAAAAGACTCAATAAAAAATTTCAATTGGCAAAAATGGAAAGTCTGGGAACTATTTTAGGGAGACAGAATTACATAAACAAAGTTACAGGTATGGTATAGTGTAATTATATATCAACAAATATTCCTATTTGCCTGAACAGAGGTCTACAGAGCTGGGAATTTTAATGCTGAATTTAAGAGTCTGCAATTGGTCTTAGAGGCCACAGACAATCAACACTGTGAGGCAGTAATATGACCTAAATTGTACCTTAGAATAGACATACTCCTGGGTTGGAAAAGAAATGATGGTAGCACAGAGTGTCCTATTAGATGTGCTCTCTTTTGAAAGCAAATTCAGGACACTATCTTCAGGTAAGATGGAGTAGACACACTCCATTCTGTCCCTCCCACTGAATGAAATGATAAAACCTGGACAGATTGTATGGAAGAGTTATTTGAGGTCTCTGAAACGTAAACAGTAGAAGATGAATCAGGGAAGAACATAAGAATTCAAAGGATCAATGAAATGATTTTTTTTCCCCTACAACCTCTTTGATATCTCTCAGCTAGAACCCAACACAGCCAGAAACCAGAGGAACTCTGGGAAAAACCTGTAGCTCTGACTTGAAGACCAGGAAAGGGAACTCCAAGGAGGCACTGAAGAAGTTCAACATCATCAGTCAAAACAAGGCTAGTGGAACAGACCATCAATTACTTATATGCAAGTTCAAGCTGAAGCTGAAGAAAAATTTTGAAAGTCCACCAGAGTCAAAATACAACCTTGATTATATCCCACCTGAATTTAGAGACCTCTGAAAATAGATTTGATGCACTGAACACCAATGACTGAAGACCAGATGAGTTGTGGGATGACATCAAGAACATCATACATGAAGAAAGCAAAAAGCCATTAAAAAGGGAAGAAAGAAATGACCAAAATGGATGTCAGAAGACACTCTGAAACATGCTATAGAAAGTAGAGTACCTAAAGCATATGTAAGAAATGATAAAGAAAAAGACCTGAAAAGAAGATTTTAAAGGGCAGCTCAAGAAGACAAAGCAAAGTATTACAATGAAATGTGAAAAGAAGTAGTTAGAAAATCAGAAGGGAAGAACACACTTGGCGTTTCTCAAGCTGAAAGAACTGATGAAAAAATTCAAGCCTTGAGCTGCAATACTGAAGGATTTTATGGGTAAAACATTGACAATACAGGAAGCATCAAAAGAAGATGGAAGGAATACACAAAGTCGTTATACCAAAAAGAACTGGTTGAGGTTCAACCATTTCAGTAGATAGCACATGATTAAGAACCGATGGTACTAAAGGAAGAAGTCCAAGCTGCACTGAAGGAACTGACAAAAAACAAGGCTATAGGAAATGATGGAATACCCATTGAGATGTTTCAACAAACAGATGCAGTGTTGGAGGTGTTCATTCATTTATGCCAAGAAATATGGAAGACAACTACTTGGTCGATTGACTGGAAGAGATCCATATTTGTGCCCATTCCAAATAAAGGTGATTCAACAGAATGCAGAAATTATCAAACAATACCATTAATAACACACACAAGTAAAACTTTGCTGAAGATAACTCAAAAATGGTTGTAGCAGTACGTTGACAGAAATTTGCCAGAAATTTAAGCTAGATTCAGAAGAGGATGTGGAACAAAGGAGATTAGTGACGTCAGATGGATCCTGGCTGAAAGCAGAGAATACCAGAAAGATATTTACTTGTGTTTTTATTGACTGTACAAAGGCATTTGACTGCATGTATCATAGCACACTATGGATAACACTGTAAAGAATGGGAATTCCAGAGCACTTCATTGTGCTCATGAGGAGCCTGTACATAGACCAAGAGGCAGTCATTCAAGCAGAACAATGGGACACTGCATGGTTTAAAATCAGGAAAGGTGTGTGACATGGTTGTATCCTTTCACCATACTTACACAATCTCTATGCTGAACAAATAATCTGAGAAGCTGGACTATATGAAGAAGAACATGGCATTGTACTTAGAGGAAGAATCATTAACAACCTGTGATATGCAGATGACACAACCTTGCTTGCTGAAAGAAGAGGACTTGAAGCACTTACTGAAGAAGATCAAAGACTACATCCTTACACCTTTATGATAAGGATTATACCTTATCATAAAGAAAACAAAAATTCTCTATCATGGAAAATGTTCCATGTGCACTGGAAAAGAATGTATATTGTGCTGTTGTTGGGTGAAGTGCTCTGTAGATGTCTATAAGGTCAAGTTGGTGGGTTGTATTGTTTAGTTCTTCTGCATCTTTGTTGAGCTTCTTTCCAGTTGTTCTATCTTTCATTGAAAGTGGTGTATTAAAAATCTCCCACTATGACTGTGGAGTCATCTATTTGCCTTTTCAACTCTTAAAATCTGATTTATGTATTTTGGGGCTCTTTCATTGGGTCCATAGATATTTATTACAGTTATATTGTCATGTTCAATTGATTCTTTAATCATTATATAATGTCCTTCCTTGTCTCGTATGGTGGTTTTTGTCTTAAAGTCAATTTGATAAGAAATTAATATTGCCACTCCTGCTCTTTCACGGTTGCCAATTGCTTGATATATGTTTCCAACCTTTGATTTTTATTCTGTTTTTGTCTTTGTCTTTAAGGTGTGTCTCTTGTAGACAGCATATTGATGACTTTTGTTTTCTTATCCAATCTACAACTCTCCGTCTCCTGAGTGGTGCATTTAATCCATTAACATTCAGTGTAATTATTGACAAGTATGGATTGATTGCTGTCATTTTGTTATGTGTTTTTTCATGGTGTCCCTGGTTTTTTGCTCCATATTATATTCTGTGCTGAGCTCATTTTGTTTATGAATCATGTTATCATTTCCTTTGTTGCTGTTGTTTTAGTATTTGCTGAATATTTGTGTTTATCCTCTTTTTTACTGTGATGTGAAGTTTTGTCATTTTTCATGGAGGTTACCCTGTGATTTATAATTTTCTCCCCAAGATTAGAACAGTCCATTCTATCTTGCAAATCTCTTGACTTCCTCACCATTTAGAAGTTCTGTAACTACACAGTATCTTCCCTCTTTTTGGTTTGCAGTTGTCTTAACTTGCCAGCTAATGTCTCTGGTTCCCTGTTTACAACCTCATAAGCTTATTTTACTTTGGATATGTCCACAGCTGTGGTTTCTAGGTTATGTCATCTTGTGTACTGATGGTCGGTTGTTATTTGCTATTTTTGGTTCTCTGTTCAAAGGACTCCCTTTAACATCTCTTGTAAGGTTGGTCTGGTTTTAATAAGGTTCCCTTAGTTTCTGCTTATCTGAAAATGTCCTAATTTCACCATCATATTTAAAGGATAATTTTGCCAGGTATAATTCTTGGTTGAAAATTTTTCTCTTTCAGCATTTTATATATACCATCCCATTGCCTTCTCGCTTGCATGGTTTCTGCTGAGAAATCAGAGTTTATTCTTACTGGCTGATCTTTGTAAGTAACTTTTTATTTTTCCCATGCTGCTTTCAGGATTCTGTCTTTGTCCTTTGTTTTGGTGGTTTGATGATGGTATGTCTCAGTGATTTTCTTCTGGGGTCTATCCTGTTTAGGGTTCGTTGTACATCCTGAATGGATATATTCTCATCTTTCATCATATCAGGGAAGTTCTCTTGCAACAAATCTTGGACAATTTTCTCAGTGGTTTCATTTTCCCTTCCTGTTTGGAATTCCAATGACACGGAGGTTATTCCTTTTGATGGTATCCCACATGAACGTTAGGCTTTCTTCATTTTGTTTTGTTCATTTTTTTTTTGATTGATCCCTTTCCAAAGAAGTCTTCAGGTATGTGTCTTCAATCTCATTAATTCTGTCTTCCATTGCATCAATTCTAATCCGTTGCCCCAACAATTTGTTATCTATTTCTGACCATTTAGTATTAATCTTCTGGACTTCTATCTATAGATTTAGAATCATTTCTAATTTTTCATTTATTTTGTCATTTTGTTCTTG